TCGCCAGGCGCCCCGCTGCGGGGGTGGGGGCTGTTTTCTGCTTCAATTTATTGTTTCCCCCCCCCCTTTTTTATAATGGCCCTGGCTGGAGCTCCTCTGCCTCGGGGATAAATAATGGCGATGCCGTGGGCCTGTGGTGGTGGTGGGGTGCAGGTCCCTCTCCGAGGGTTTTTAGCCCAGGGCTGGGGCCCTGAGCAGGGCCGAGGGAGATGGATGAGTGGTGTTAAAGCAGATGAGAATGTATTTGTATTTATATCGCTGCTTCAGGTTCACCAGCCAGGCGAGCAAGCTTTTCCCTTTTAAAGACTCCTCCGATGGTGTTTCTCTCTAAATATTTAGCTTTCTAAAGTCTGGGTCTGAGCACCCTGCTGTGCATCAGCTTTGTGGGTAGGACTGGGTGCTAAGGGTGCAAACCTCTCAGGCCGAGAACCATCGCTATTTACATTTGCAGAGAGAGCTGTTTATTCCTCCTAGGGTGGTGGAGTTCATAAAAAAAATAGCGCTAACATCTGGGTTCTCTAGTTTAAAAGGCCTGTCTCTGAGGGGTTGCTGTGTGGAAGGACCAAGAGTCGCTCAGTCTGCGTGTGTGATGGCGAAGCGGGTACAGTAGTCTGTTGTTATTATTTTGTCGGTTGTATTGTGGTGACAGGAAGGGAAAGAATGGATCGTTATTTGTTTTTTAAGGCCTCATCTGCTCTCAAAACAATGTGGGAGCGTAATGCCTTATTTCCGAGCTGAGGACGTGGGTTACTGTTGAGTTTGTCAAGGAGCTGCCTTGGGTTTTTAATGTCTGTGACTTGCAGGGGTTGTCTTCAAAGGTATTTGCTCAGAGTGGAATACAAATGTAGAGGGGGGAGAACTAGGGTGTATCTTGGCATTTTATCATAGTAGGATGCTTCTGCTGTTTGGAAAGGGGGAAATCACTGTGTTTGACAGCATTTCTGTCGGGATAAGTGTGTTTAAGTGGTTCCAGGCAGATTCTGCAAGCAGGGGAAGCTTGCTGAATCTGCTGGAATTCAGCACCAGAGAGCTTCACAGGTGAAAGCTTTGGCACATGGGAGCCAGAGGAAGGTCGATAACCTTTCAGACCATGTACTGCACCAGTTGTAGCACCAAGGCAACGAGAGTAATCATAAAAGCAGGGGGGGAAGGCATTTAATATCCTGCAGATGTGCTGGCTCTTGCTGGTTGTATGAATCAGGGTATTACATAAATCAAAGAGTTAGTAAAGCAATGTATTGTTTTTATAAAGCCAAGTGCATGCCAGGTACGTTACAGAAGAGAAGAAAAGGTCCCTGCTTTGGAGAGCTTACGATACAGAATGATATATTATTGATCAAACCTGCTTTGGGGCAGCTTTGCTAGCCCACGGGTCTGCTCAGGTGGTAAGATCTGGGACAAATGTTTGCATGGAATGCAAGGAATGTCGGTAGAACAGGGCCAGGAGCTAATTAACCTGGCAATGTAGTGCAGGATGTTCTCATTGCATACTTGGGGTTAGGTTTTAATTTGGCATTTTACTCTTTTGGTGTTTCTAAGGCTGCGGCTAGAAATTTGACACTGATGCTAATATAACATCTGACATTAACTGCTTGAGTTGGATGCTCAGGCAGCTGCTGACCAAACAAATCAGGGTTATTTTTCAGCCGGATAATTTTCCTGGTCTGATTCACTATGTGACCACATAAACAAATGTGCAAGAGCAGAACAGGGAGTTGATCTTGGGGGGAGAGGAGCAATTGCTGAAGCTGGTAGCCCTGTTGAAAAGTGGGGTTTTTTTCTGAAACTACACCCTAGCGTTGCAGGAAAAAAAAGATATTAAAAATGCCATTGCTTGAGTTCTGATTTGTAGGAGCCCATTTGTCCTGTGAGATCAGCCAGAATGAGTTACAGCAGAGCAAATCTAAGTTTAGGGTGCACGTTACGCAGCGCTTGTCAGCTTGTTCTCAAGTGAGCAAAACGGATCCGTGCTTTTCAAATGCAGGCTGTGCTGTGAGGTGTGTGGAGAGAATACCTGTGTAAATAGTTACGCCGTTCTTGCGGTGTAGTGACAAACTTCGTGGAGCAAGGTGGTGAATTGGGTGAAGCAGCGCACAGGATTCACGAGCTCGTTCCTGGTGTCAGGTGGTACTTGGAGCAAAAGGGGCCTGGTTTCCATTTTCGGCTGTGATCTGGGTGTATTGGTTGTGTTTTTCGTGTTTTTACGTGATGGTCCTCAGTCTGTGCTTCCAGGACGACGCATTGCTAAACTGTGTCTCTCCAGAAAGAGTTTCAGTCGTCCCAGTTTAATCCAGGTTAGAATTTTCCCAGCTTGGAAACAAGAAGCAAAGCAAGACCTCACAGATGCTCCCTTTCCCCCAGCAGAGTTTTTCCAAGGCTAAATGTCTTGCTAACAATGGGATCCTCACGTTGACAGCTATTAACTTGTCCGGCAATTTCTTTGTGGCTATTCTTCAGCCCATCTGTTGCTCTTGGTATGGTAAGGCTCTGCCTTTGTGGCAGACAGGGGGAGTGGAAGAGGAACACATTTCTTTTTTTGGCATCTTGATGTTGGTTGCTCATAGGTGTGTTCTTACAAGCTTCCCCATTGAAATTTCACGGTGGGAAATAATTTGCTGTCAAATGCCATTTTTGTCTCTGTCTGGCGTTCACAATGCAATTCTTGCTGCGGTATTTAGTTATGTGGCATTTCTGCATATGAATGACCTGCAGGCAAACTTTCAGAGGAACGTAAGAGCTTTTGTTGCCTGCAGAGCATGCTGCTATCACGTTACTGTTACTCAATAATCAGTTGGCCTGGACATTAGGTTGCGAAAATTTAAACAAATTGTAAGCTGTTGAACTTTGCCCCACACATACTGCTTATTTCTCTGTCCTGTTCTTATTGCTGACAGGGGATTTAACGAAAACAAATCGACGTTAAAATAAGTGACTAAAATTATAGTGCAAGAGAGCTTAGCTTGGCTACTGTGTGTGATGATCGGCTTTGTATTGCTGGCTGTTGTACTTGGTGAGCAATCGCTTTATGGGACGGATTCATTTGGAATAGATGAATAAATGCAGTTTCATTGATTTCTGGGAAGCTTTGTTCATTTACATAAGCTGTGAATCTCGGAGGGTTCTTCTCTTGTCAGAAAATTTCACGGCTTCTTTCAGTCCTTGGGAGATAGTGAACCAGCAGAGACTGTTAGGACTGCAGCTAAATGTCGTGCCTTTGGCTGCGAATAGGTTTGCTCCAGAGAAGCCTTCCGTCTTGCCTAGATGTTGCGATGTTCCTTTGGTCTCTCTGCGCGTGCTGGTGTTGAGGTGTACGGCTGGAGCGTGTTTTTCTGTTAACGTACTGCATCTCTCCACAGGGATTTTTAATCGGAGGCCATGGAGCTGTCAGCCAACGAGCTCAGCATTTATGACAAGCTATCAGAGACGATTGATCTAGTGAGGCAGACCGGCCACCAATGTGGGATGTCAGAAAAAGCCATTGAGAAATTCATCAAGCAGCTCTTGGAAAGAAACGAACCCCAAAGGGGACCTCCACGGTACCCTATCTTAGTGGCTCTCTACAAGGTAAGGTGTCTTTTGTGCATGCACAGAGCGTTTGAGGGTCAGAAGGTCTCCTTTTGCACCTGAGCCTTTTATCCAGGGGCTTGGCTTATTTGGGGGGTTGGAATAGGTCATCTTTGAAGGTCCCTTCCAACCCATTCTGTGATTTTATGATTTCCCATTGCATTGTCTTGATGAATTTTTCTGAGTTTTTTATTTTAAAAACCGTGAAGTGTTGTTTCCGTCCTTTGTCCCATGAATTGGTTTAAAAACAGAAGACAGATGACCAAGATTTGAAAGTGCTCATGTGTGTTGAAATTTTAACATGTCAACACCTTCCTCTTCTTAAATTATTAAAGAATGAGACTTGGATTGATTCTTCAGGCAAAGATTCCCCATGTCGGCACCCTCAGTGGAAATGTGAGGAAGGAAGGAGATTCTTAAAGTTCAGGGTCAAATAATGAAGAGATCCAGGTTCTGTTTCTGACCCTGTCACAAGCTGCCACCTGTCTTTGTTCTCCTTGTAGTCTATAAAATAAACCTGTTGCCATGGTGCTTGATGTTAGAAAAATGTTTTGAGACCTTTAACTAAAAGACTCTGTGAAAAGTTTTGCAAAGTGGGTGAAAGGCTGCTGCTGTTAGGTAGGTTAGAGATGTTTGCTACAAGAGGAAAACCTTCCCACTGGTGTAACTTTCAGTAATATTTTAGTGTCATCTTTAAAAAATCATCATGATGGTTTCTATTTAGAAAAAAATTTAAGCTTTCTTCCTCCTGTCCTATAAAAAGCTGTAAAATGAGGCAGGAGAACAGGAAACTAGAAATTTGAACTTTTAGCTTCTGTTCTTGTTTTTGCTGTTGATTCACTTTGACTTTGGCCAGGGGGAGAAATGCGTCATGACATCTCTTTAAAGCTTATTTGGGATTCTGGTATGGAGGAGGAAGCTGGTGCCAACTCTGCCAAAGTGTTTCGAGGCTTGACGGATGTTTGCAAAAAGCCTTGAAAACCTTGTGTAAGAGGAATGGCATAAGTGCAAGCTTTTATTTGATTAGGTGGGAGGAATCGGAACTATCTGTCGATAATCCTCATTGCTGTGGTGCTGGATTATTTGCAGTGCTAAAATACATGAACAGAGTTGTGTGGCTTGGGTTTGAAGGCTGCTTAATTTCATCCTTGGACAGCCCTAACAATAAAACTGGGTGACAACTCTGCATACGTAAAGAGCATTGCAGTTGAACAAGGAGCCACAGCAAAAATTTGAGCATTTATCTTGCAGCGCACAGCCACAACCCTTTGATACCGGCGAGAAGGTGTGTCCTGTTCTGAAGACATATCAGCTCATTGCAGTATAATTTATTATGTGCCTGTTCTCTCTCGCAGGGCCTGCTCACGCTGGGATTGGTCTTGCTGACTGTTTACTTCGTGATCCAGCCGTACAGCCCACTGCCGCCTGAAGCTCCGCTCTCCAGAGCCCATGCCTGGGGCTCCCTCATCGGTCACATCCGGCTGCTCTCTCTGCCCATTGCCAAGAAGTACATGCTCGAAAGTAAGGAAATGATTTCTCTGCCGTAACATAAGCCTAGCAAGAAATACCAAGTTAAATACCAGCAATGCGGATCATTTGAGTGTGTCTCCCTGGGCACCAAATAACAAATGTGCTACTGGCATGGCACCATTTTCTCCTTTCCTACCACTGTACTTAAAAATAGCGTCCTGAATTCTAGCTAGGGCTTTTTCCCTTCCATTCAGTGAGGCTGAAGCATATTTTATCTCTAACTTCATAATTTTCTTCTTGCACATTCTCTTTTCCTTGCTTTTAACACCTCAGGTTTTTTCTTCCACAAGAGTTCCCTTTCCTCTATAAATCTCTGCAGTTCTGGGAATCATACCGAGGTAGCTATGCTGGGTAAATGTCACCTTTTTTATTTTTTCTGAGTAAGCCCGCAAAAACAGTTTGTCAACCAAATCTTGGTATCTGTGAGCAAAGTGTAGAAACCTCAGCATGTGACCCGGGCCTAAGGAAAAGTAGTTTTTGCCAAGTGGCATATTGGGAAAGGACTGTGGGCTTGAGAGCTATGGTGTTTATAGCGGTTAACGTAACATTAAGGGTAGTGCATGTGTGTGAGGAAGCTAGATAAGTGGCTCCCTAATGAGGTGGTCCCATCGCGGGAGAGGAATGTAATAGATTTTCCTAGACTGGCATAATAGAAATGGAAAAGTTTGAGTATTTCTCAGTCTCACTTAATCATTTCCACTGACTTAGGTGGGCAAATGGGTGTAAGCATGGGCTCTGCCTCTTTGATAAAACACAAAAGACTGTCAGTAATGATAAAGTCGCGAATTATTTTGAGCAGGGATGTGGCACAATGTTGATTGTCTGTCGGCTCACTGTAAAAACAAGCTCCTGTAGCCATGCCCTCGATGGGTTTATATTTAGCTTCGGCAGCTCATTGTGTTGGAGTTGTCTGTTCTGGCTCTGACCTTCCTGCCGTAGCTAAAAAGGGCGCTCTGAAATGCCAGCACTGTTCTGCATTTTTTCTGTGTGTCTCCCTCTCTTCCGCTGACACACGGGATTTCTGTTGATTCGGGTCCGTATGGGTGGGACGGGGTATCCCCCATTGTTCATCTCCTTCCTTAAACACCGGGATCTCTTGCAGGGAGGAAAAAACAGAGGCGAGGAGGTGGCTCTGACAGCTGCTTCACGTTAGTAGCCTGCTTATCTAATGCAGTTCAGCATTGACATGAGTCTGCATACCCGTCTGCTTCTGTAGGGAGAAGGAAACCATCGGGAACTCTAATGCTTGTAATTGTTCAGTGAAATCTTGTTCAGAAAGTTGATGGGTTCTTCCTTCAGATGCTGCAGGGCCCCCTTGGATGGGGAGAGCCTCAGGGCAGCAAAAGGTTTCTAGGGCAAGGATTGCCTGTAATCATGAGCATCTTGCTGTGAAGATAAATAAAATAAAAGTAGGAGTAAGTCTGGGCTACTGATGGGAAAACCAGCTGAATGGCAAGGAGATAGGGAAAGGGGCGAAGGGAAGGGAAGGATGGACGGAGAGGAAGGATGTGAGGTGGTTGTTTAAATGCATATAAAATCCCTCATGCCTCCATGAGTCCCGGAAATCTGAAGTGATGAGCAATAGGGTGGGCAGTGAGCCAGTGCTGGGGAAAGGAGGGGAGGTACAGAGGGGATGAGGCAGTTCCTGCTCTGTTTTTCCAACGGTATTAGGTTATGGTGGAAACCACAGCACATCCCAATTAACAGATTCGCTAGGGATGGCTGGGGTAACTGATCTTGCCTCAGCAAGGGGAACTAGACTAGACCCCGGCTATTTGAATGGGAGAGTGCAGCACCCAAGCTGAACCTTGGATGGGTTCCTGTGGGAATCCCTCATGTCTTGGCTTCCCAGCAGGCAGCTGTGGCCACCGGGGCTGTCCCAGCATCCGGCTGTCCCAGTGGCGCTGGTGTCAACTTCACAGCTTGCTGCTGAGTGGACTGTGATAAAACCATCCAGCAGGGATCTGGAAGGGGCAGTTTCATGGCGTGTGGCTTGGTGGTCTCCCGAGCTCTCTTTCAGCCCTGCCTTGTGCACCATGTAATGTTTTGCCCTTAATTTTGGCATTGTGGTCTGCTGAAGGGAAGGGATAAAGCTGTATCATGCCATCCTGTTTCTTGATGTGAGCATAAGGCCAGGAGGTCTTGCAAGCAGGTCTAGCCTTCTCCGGTGCATGCTTGCATAGGAGAAGGCACCATGCAAGGAGACTGAGCAGCAGAGAAAAACACTAACCAAGGGACTTGACGTACAGACTCCTCTTCCTTCCTCTATGTAGATCCTAGTAGATTAATTTTTTTGAGGGGGCTGAGGATGAAACTTGGAGCTTTCTGTGCTCGGGCACCAGTTCAAATCCAGCTCGGGCTGTTCTTGTTGAAAGCCACCTGTTAGCAGTTTGGAGGCTGCCTTGGCCCCCCGGCAGGGCTG